GTAAGTACAAACGCTTGGTGCATGTAAGTTGTTGTGTGCTCTATTCGTGCAAGCACCAGCCACCCGCCACCTCTTGCCGTCGTCGTCACACCGGCACGGCAGAAGCAGCCGTCTTCCACCCGTCATCGTCCTCGATACAGTCATCACTGTTCAGTGGTACCGCGGCGCCACGCACTTTTACCTCGTTTCATCACCGACCGCTCTAGCAAAATTCTTCGCTTATCTTCGTATAATTACAGTAATGCAAATCGCAATACAACTCGAAAGTAAGCAGTAATGCAATCGTTAATTTAAATCTTACCTCTTCATGGGCTAAAATGCAAACATCCCCTCTGTCAAGACCATCGGTCGATCAGTTAATAAGGATATACTGTGAAGCATGCGAAGAATTGAAAAGTTGGTCGTTGATTTGCAGTTGTTGTTGCGTAATCATCATCTAAATTTAATGGAATTTGAAGAGCGCAATAATGCAGATTTTTGATGTTTCATTGCTAATAGAGGTATCTCAGCTGATCATTTGGAAGCAGTCAATACTTCTGCAAAACTCATATTTCTTGTTACAGATATGATACCTCCTCAACGAGCCTTTCGAGGTTTTGTATTGTTTTTGATGGCCTTTGTGACAATTGGGCAGTTTCTGCATAAGAATGGTTTGCATATATATTCTCTTTTTTCGACTATAGTTTTCCTGTAGAAGTGTCGTCCTGGAAGTGGCGCAGAAGTCCGTCAGGTGTTGACGGGTTTGCCTACATTTTCGTCTGTGATATATGCTCATAACAGGATGCCATGCTTGCCCGAATCCATTGGGTCAGGTGAAGATGTGGGAGATGTTGGCAATGATTAACGAGGGTTGGCACCCCAGAGGGACCACCTAACAGCCACTCGTCACAAATCGCTCAAAAGAAGAGTAGATCAGAGTAGATTTGTCTTGCGCCCGTGCTACACCCACAACAGCATGAAAAGTCAGCTGAAGAATCATAATGGATTTTGAGCCATTTTATCAAACGAATCAAGGAGCCGGCTTCGACATTCATATGATGGCTTTCGTAGACCTCTGGTTCCCGGCATTTGCTCGGCGCACCACTGCGCTCCG